AAAAAAAAAAAAAAAAAAAAAATTTTTAAAATTTTTTTTTTTTTTTTTTAAAAAAAAAAAAAAAAAAAAAGACATTCTAAAACTAAAACTTGTCTAGAGTGAAATAACGCAGACTGTGGAGCGCAAACTAGGACCTATAACCCAACACAGAGGAACCCGCACTGTTGGCTGAAAGAATACACCTGGAGGAAAGCACACCAGCCGGAGGTTCAGTCATCAGCCTCAGAGGTGATCGGGTCACGTGTACATTTAAACTAGGCGGAGAAATTAAGGGTAAGATGGGACCTGGCACACAGGGGTTCCTCGTTAGCACTGAAGCAGGAGGTTGGAGGCTGGCGGGCGGAGTGTACCTGCAGGGACACCGGCCAGCTCCACGCCCGCGCCCGGCTCCAGGGCGCCCATCTCGGCCGCCAGGTGTTTGCAGTACGTGCAGACGTAGTCTTCTCTGGGCTGAGAATCCAGTTCCTGGTCTGCTGGTTTGTCACATTCCAAGTGAACCCACCTGCAGTGATACATATTTTTTAAAAAAGTTTCCCAGTTAAAAGCCAAGCTCATAACGCAGGGCAGAGAGAAGCAACTGCTGAAAACCTGGACACAGGAGGTGCTGAGGCCGACAGGGAGAGATTACGGGGCTGGCGACTGGGAAGGCGCTAGATACGGAACCTGCATTTCTGCAGGTCCTGAGAGGTGCTCACACACTTTATTTCCACACTGTCAAACTATTTCCTCTTTAGTTTCTCCTGTTAATACTCATTTCTGGTCCTGTCTTTTGCCCACTGACTTCCTGAGACTGTGACTCGGCTCCGCCCACAGCAGCCCTCAGAACTGAAGGGACACTGGGTGCTGGAGCTGGAGCTGGAGCGCGCGGGCACGTGGCGGGCACGTGGCGGGCACGTGTACCACTCAGTGGAGCTGAGGAAGCCCGTGGACGGGATAAGGGCCGCTTACCTTTTGCACATGTTACAGTGAAGCATGTCCTTCTGCAGCTCTGGGTTGTAGCACTTCCCGCAGAAAGGACACAGGTTGTCCTGCTGCTGGTAACAGCTGTCGCAAACCAGGCAATTGTGGTGCCACTGAGGGCTAGACCGTGTGCCGCACTCGACACAGATCCTGCAATTCTAAACGCCAGGAGAGACGAAAACAAAACCAGGGCGTTATGCATCTGTATTGGGGTTCTGGTGCAAACCTTTCTGAACTCCACGAAACACCTGCGGGTTATACATCAGGCTTTAACTTTCATGACGTTAACTCAGGGTGTTTCTTTTTGAAAAAGCAGTTTGTTTTGAGCATCTGATAAGACGTCACTCAATTTGCACTAAAACCTCCAGGAAAATGTAAATAGGGGATGGAGAGGTCCAGGAAAACATAAACAGAGAGGGGGAAAACCAAGAACACAGCAACTACTCAAACTTCAAAAACAGGACACATGCTCCAGAACCGGGGGAAGCCCGTGTGGAGTGCGTCTCCTCAGCGCCCTGCAGAAAGCAGACTGGTGCTGCCCGGGTGCTCCACTGGCTTAGAAACCAAAATCAGGGGCGCGCACTACAGAAGTGCCATCCCCCACCCCAAACGACCTGGTGTCTCAGATTGTGAGACTCATCCCTCCACACCCAAATCCAACTACGGCCCCTCGCATTTTCAGAACAGAACGGCGGCCGCCTCCGTGCCTGAGAGTTGGCCTTACGAGCCCGGAACAAGACGGACAGACTGCGGGGCCCTCACTGCCCGCCCGACGTTCCGACCTAAACCACCAAGGGGAGCTGCCTCTTTCTGAGCTGCTGCACTGACTTGCCAGCCAAAGAAGAGAAACTAGCAGGAGCCACACGTCTGCCAAAGTCTCACAGGTACCATGTGATCGCACCAATATTAATGCAAAACCCCAGGGTAACATGACAAATAGACCCCAATAGCGAATCAGGAAAATATTAAGCCACATTCAAGTAAAGCTTATACAAGAAACGCAAAGAGGATTAACTATTAGAAAAGTCTATTAATAAAATTTAACATAGTCTTGGGTCTGAGGAAAATAACTTCAATAGATGCTGAAAAAGGCTTTGGGGGGAAAAAAAATCAAAACCCATTCCTAATTTAAAAAACCCTTGAGAAAATAAAAATGGATGGGTATTTCCTTAATGTGATAGACACACTTCGCTCAACTCTAACGCCAGCGTCTTATTAACTGGGGAACCCCCGAGGTGACCCCACTAAGGTCGGCAACAACGCAAGGCGTCTACCCGATGCATTGCTATGAACGTGGTTCTGAAGTCAGTGTGCACCCTGAAACACACAGAGGCAGGGAGCCGGAGAAGGGGAGAGAAACTGTCCTCGTGGGTGCCAAGATGGCACACTCGCAAATTCCTAGAGAACCAATCATAAATTCAATAAAAGAATTTAAGAAAGTAGCAAGATACAAAGCAAGCAATGAAAAGTCAGTAGAATTCACATGCATGAATAAGAACCTGTTAAAAGGTATAATAAACGAGACAATCCCATCTACAACAGCAACGACATGGATAAAATAGCTCAGAGTGAACCTAAGAAGTGCCTCAAACCTGTACAAACAAGCACGCTCAGGGCCGAGGCTGCACTAGACCTGAACACACGCTGACATCCCTGTTCTTGGTTAGGATGTCTCATCCTCAGGACGCCATTTCTCCCCTAAATCAATGAATACACTTAAAGCGACCCCAATAAAAACTCCAGTGAAGTGTTTCACGGAGTTAGACCAGGTGACCCTGGAGTTCGAAAGGAAAAGTAAACATGAGAACAGGCAGGAAAAATGGGAAATGGAAAGGCTCTGAGGGCACCAACACTCCCACAGCCCCTCGAAATGAAACAGGACGGCATTAGTTCATAGAGAGACAGGTGGATGGAATAGACTAGGAGTTCCAGAAATGACGCCATCCAAAATCGAAACCCCGTGCGGGAATCTCAAGTCAATGGGGCAAAGGGCAGTCTTGCGCGTGACTGGCTGTGGACAGCGGGGCGGGGGGGGCTGGAAAGAGACGTCACACCACACGCAAGGGGCAGCTCCGGTGGCTAGAGCTGGAAGCTGAAAACAGAGTGACGCAAAAACTGGGAGAAAATACGAACTCTTCTGTAACCCCAGTGTTGGGGAAGGATAATTTTAACTAAAAAATCCAGAAGGAACAGAAGACCAATAAATGTGACTATAATGTGCGACAAAAGATAAAAAACAACGTAAGCAAAGTCAAAAGGGGAATAACTGGAAGAAGATACTTGCATCATATAACACAGATAAAGGTCTTACAGCCCCAATATGTAAAGAACCCTTAAATTGCGGGATTAAAAAAAATCGAAGTCTTCAAGAGCGTGAGGCAACACACACGAGCAGACAACCCATAAAAGGTCAAAATTACCCTTCCACATATAAAAATGATCGACTTTGCCCTGGCCCGTTGGGCTCAGTGATTAGAGCATCAGCCTGGGGACTGAGGGTCTCGGGTTTGATTCTGGCCGGGTTATGTGCCTCGGTTGTGGGCCCATCCCCAGCCCCGGTCGGGGTGCCTGCAGGAGGCAACCGATCAATGTGTCTCTCTCACATCGATGTTTCTCTCTCTCTCTCCCCCTTTCTTCCACTCTCTGAAAAGCAATGGAAAAAATATCTTAGGGTGAGAATTAAAAAAAAATTTTTTTTAATGATCAATTTCACTCAATGGAGACATGAAAATTAAAATTACATTGGATATCATTTTTCACCATAAAATGGGCAAAAATTCTAATGCTGAACAGGACACTGTTGGCCAGGGTACAGGAACCTTTCCCCGCACGCGCCGCCTTCCAGGGGGCAGTGGGAAATGTCACAGGCCCCGGGAGAGGGAATCTGAGACTATCTAGGTCAAGGCCAGGGGCATTTACCCGCCAGGCAGAAATCCCACTTCTAGGAATCTGTCCTAGAGATCCTCTCCCAACCATTCAAAAACCCCTATGCACAAAATTACTGCCTTCAGAACCATCTGTTATGTAAATACGGAAACTACCTAACTACCCAAGCAGAGGCCACTGGCCAAAGAAACTGTAGCAGATAAGACAGCGGGGGAGGGGAAGGGGAGGGAAAATCTCTGAGAACTGTTACAAAGTGACTTGCAGATACTTTTTAAGTGAAAAAGGCAACATGCAAAAGAGCATACATAATGTGTGGAAGGAAAATAATTTATCTGCCTATCATTACCAAGAAGCACAGGAAGGACAAGCCAGAGAGCATGTTAGGTACCCAGAGGAGCAAATGCAGTGGACGTCTCACGGGAGGAAATGACAACTATGGGTAGAGCTTTTTATATAATTTTTGACTTCTAAAGGCATGTTAGGAGCCTATATTTTTAAAAGTTGAAATCACTAAGAAAAGGGGAATTGCCCAGCCGGTGTAGCTCAGCGGTTGAGCACCGACCTAGGATCCAGGTGATCAGGGTTTGATTCCTGGTCAGGGCACATGCCCGGGTTGGGGGCAGGGGGCATGCAGGAGGCAGCCGATCAATGACTCATCATTGATGTTTCTCTCTCCCTCTCTGTCTGAAATCAATAAAGACATATTAAAAAGGGAAAACAGAAAAGAGGAGTACAGTCTATCACTGAGAGCAAACTGAAGTCTGTTGACTGCGCTGAGCAGCTGAGTAAGTGTGGGTGGGACCCGGGATTCGCAAGAGCGGGACTAGGCAGGACCCTCAGGGGGAGGGATCAGGACTGGAGGTCCTGGTGTAGAGCCGTTATTTATAAATTTCGTGAGTATACACACATGTATGTGTGTACATGTATTTGTAGCGTGTATGTGTACGTGCACAGCCACGCACTATTTCCTGCCCCATCTGCTGGAAGGGCAAGCCCAGGGCCCCTTCTCCACTCCAGGCACCAGGCCTAGGTGAGGAGACGGACTCCAGGGTGAGATAAAATGACCTTGAGCATCTCTTAGCCACAGAGTGAGTAGGTGCCCAAATGAAAGGCGAGGAGGGCAAGTCACAGGGGCACGGGAACCAGCCTGAAGAGGCTGCCAAAGGGAGCTGTGGGACACCCTGAGCACACAGAGAGCTAGCGACAGTAATGGATCAGAGCATTAGTTTACAACCAGCAGGTGAAACCTGTCAGTGGTCAGAGCGGCGGCCTGCAGACATACCAGAGTCTCGGGTTTGGTCCCGGCCCTGGTCCGGGAGCGTGGGGTAGCAACCTGTCGATGTGTCTCTCTCACATTGATGTTTCTGTCTCTCCTCCCCTCTCCTTCCCACTCTCTCTAAAATGGAAAAAAATATCCTCACTCCTTCAATGAGATTTTTTAAAAAAACCAAAAACCTGCACCAGGCAACAGGTCCTAATATCCTAGAGGAATTCAGAGGAGGGGCAGGGTATCTGCACGATCAGTGTCTCCTTAAAGAGCTTCACTGGATCCAGGGGAGAAAAGAAAACTGGAGAAACCTGGCGGCAGCAGCTGGTGCAGACAATCGGCGCTGAGGGCACCTGCCACGAGGCGAGCGTGAGGTGCACCGGCTGTGATACCCGAGGCGCATTCGTCACTATGCAGCCTTTTCGCCAAGAAATGTCGAACTCTACATACTCGTGAGGAAATCTCAGACAGAGACAAATGGGAAAGGTGCTGGG